ATCATAAATAAAGGGGCCGCTCCATGCCAATTGTTTTAAAATGTTAAACTATAACTAAAACCTCATAATGAAGCTGATCCGCTGAGACCAAGGTCAAAAGTAAAAATCATTTTGGTAATCCGATGTACAACAGTTCCCTCACACGGTGGCATAATTAACTTGAATATATTAATTCTTTAGTACATTGCTTATTGAATTATACATCATCAATTTGCCTTCGACAATACAGTATATTGCGCAATGATGGTGAATAAGGAGTAGTAGATAAGACCTGTTGGCATATCTGGAGCCCCTGAGCGTGAATTTTTATCTCTGTCTCACTGAAGGACATTCTGTTGGGTTCAGGGAAATCATGAACCCTTCCTGAATTGGCCTATTTGTCTGAGTAAGCTGTAATTGCTTTCTCAGGACATGCAGAAAAATTTCAATATTTTAAATCTTATTGTTAAACCAGAGTACACTGAGGCTCCAGGAAGTGAACTGACTACCAAAGAGAAAGTTGTGCCCAATGCTGTCTACATGATAATAAATGTCTGATTCATGTGTGCGTTCAACAACAGTTGTGTTGAGTGATGGGCAGCGAGCACACATTCACAATCGCAAAGGCAAAATGTGTTTTGTCTCATAACACTATATTGGTCGACATTCATTTTTAATAAAATAAACCTTTTTATTAGGGATAACTAAATGGCTGAATGTGGCTGTACTGAGCAGATTTTATAGCTGAAAAATGAAATTGTCAGTGCTCTCTAGTGGACTAAATTACCTGAAACACATCTTTGCCATTTCTGTGCTGCAATTTCTTGTTACTTAATAGCAACATATACGATACCAACAAAAGTGAAATAATCGACTATAAATTGATATATCGATCAGTTTATCAGGTTGGAAATTTTATGCAAATGATTCAGATTTTTTGATTACTTTGTATGAAAAATATAAATAATACAAACAAACAAAACAAAATAACTTTCAGTTGGAACGTCATGCCATTTACGTCAATGTGGTTCCTATATATATATATATATTTAAGTAAAGATACTTTAAGGCTGCTTGAGGTTTTCATTAAAACTTGCAGGATATAATACAAGCCATTATTTTTTTAAAGGTAAAAATGCATCTATACGTTTTCAGTAATATGCAATTTAGACATAGTTAAGCAACTTGTCACTAACCAATCAAATAATTGTCTATCATTGTTTATTAATTTGATTGTAGACTATATACAAAATATCACACCGGTCCCAGACAGTATATACAAATTGCCTGGTATGTGTTTGTTTTTCTGTGTGTGCATGTTTGGGTCTTTCCATGCTGTAACAATCAGTTTATCAAGCTTATTCTTTAATACTGAAACGAGATATAAAACATGTTTCATTTTCCATTAAGTGCCCTGCATTTAACCCATAACCCCTTGTACTTGAGTGCTTGCTAAATACCAGTTTGACAAAGGCAGCATCACTGTAAAACCTCCCCATTGTCTTGTCAGTCATGCCTGAAGAACTCACTTTCACACCTCTTATTCTCACTTTTTGATCCACAAAAAATGGCAAAGATTCTTTTATATTCAAATGAGAACATTAACATTAGACATCCGGCATCACAAAGTCCCTCTCTGTTAGCATCTCATTTGAATATCTCATATCTTCAAGACACAGCTCAGTTAGAGTCATCTGGGCTTTTGTCCCCAGCACAGGAGACCACAGGCAAGTCAGGGAGGTGTCACACATCCAGCCTAGTAATTTGTCATGAAAGAACCCTTTCCTGGGATAAAGGTAACGAGCTGTCAAGGTTATAATGGCTAGCATAAACATAGCTAATTAATTAGAAACCAGGTGAAGCAGAGTAAGGCCACACTGCTGAGAGAATCCATAATTAGCTAATATGTTACATAGACTCCTCAAAATAGATAGTTAGTAAGGCAAAACTATTATGTTGCTGTGAATATCAACAAGGACAGTCTGATAAGGAGTCTCTCAGTGGCACCTGTAACAACCTCAAAGAGAGCATTATAAATACAAAAGGCAAGCCATTCTCTATTAAAGATGACGACCAAAAGCCACTCAGACAATAACATGTCAGTATCTCTTAAAGTGCACACCAATCCCCTCAGATGACTCAAAAATGCCAAACAAAATGAAAATGGCACGCTCCTGCTCATAAACTTGGCACTGAGTGAAAACTTTCAACAATGCTTTTCTCAGAGGACCAAGTTGTCTTATTTTAGACATTGATAGTAAATTACGGCTAATCTACCTGTACTGTTCACTGGGAGGAGAAAAGGCTATTGTGATGGAGCGTTTATAATATCATTTTGATAATGTAATTAGTGAATGGAAATAGAGGTTAAGCATTGCTATATAGAATTTAGCCTAAGCCAAGCAAAAGGTGGATGGGAGTTAAATTGAAAACTGTTAAGTCAGGTAGGTAAACATAGACAGTCTGCAACTGGCTACATATGTTTACTGGAAGTTTTTGAGTGTGGCATTTAAGGTTTGCAGAATTTTATCAGTGTAATTACAGCGTAAAGACACACAACATACACATTCCTCTGCCCCAGGCTATATTTCTAAAATGAGCTTTATTTGATTAATGATGAGCAAAGTTAGAAATCCCTTCCTATGGCAACAAATAAATCCTGTTTCCTGTATCCTGTTTCTTGAGACTGGGAATTTGGGAATAGGTTTGTTTGTAAATGCAGGTTGCATATCCTGAGATAGTTGACCAAACACAGAGATTAAGATAGAGAAGGCCTTGAGAGCCCTAAGAGGCTAAATTGTGATTTAGGACTATATAAAGAAATCCAACTTGACTTTATCGTTATCCTATATTATATTTAAACAACAGAATGTGGGGCGTGGTGGGCAATGTAGGATGTGACATGTCAGATGGGTATTGGGGGGAGAAGGGAAAGACACTGACCATCACTATTGCTGTTCTAGCTAGAATAGATAGTGATAACTCTCTGGGCATTTTGAAAGGGTTGGGACTGTCCTCTCCAGAAGAAAGACAGCGTCAGTCTTTTCAAGAAATAATCAACACATTCAAATGACAAGCCACTCTAGCGACTGTAGTGGCTATAGTAATTATGAGCAAAGGAGGAGGTAAGGTGATCTTAGAATAGAGCGACAAAGTGCACTTGGGTGGATGGACGGGTCAACAAAATATCCAAGTTTAACACAGCTGTTCGTTTTCCTATTTCCAACCGACTGTTAACATATCTTTTTAAGCATGAGTGCGATTGTTCTCTTACCTTAACAAAATAGTAATTTTTACCCAAACCATGATTTTTCCCTAAACCTATGTAAACCTTTAGCACGGGGACGCCAGATCAGAATACACTTCTATATGTCATTTTTGGCTATTTCATTATGTTTGAGGAGTGGCAACAGAATTCAGCTTAACTGACCTTTCAACTCCAAGGAGACACATACAAGCTAGTTTTGAGCAGTAAAAATGTGTTTTTTTGCACACAATGTTAATTGCTGAAAATCACCTGTATTAATCTGATGTGATTATGTGTACAGCAAAAAAATATTACATGTTAAATTCCTGTTTCGGCTGAATGGAACCCTTTTAATATCACAAACCGAGAACCATCACTGTGTTTGTCTCTAGCTGTTCATGTCACTGGTATCTAAAACATGAGTGGTTAAGATGCTTTACACATGTTCTGTGGTGTTTCTTAGCTGACACTGCTGGTTAAAATTCAGAATCACACAAGTGCAAGTGAGCAGCAAAACGAGGAAGGCCTTGCAGTCAGGAATGTTAAAAGGAAAGCACATTTGGAGATGTGGCCACTCAGCATAATATTTTGAGCCATAGGAATGCCACAACGCAAAATGTTTCATCCTATACATTACTGTATGTACAAATCAATTCACATTTAGTTTATATAGAACCCTTGGGGAAAATGCTGCTACTTCCTCAAAAGAAAACAAAACTCCACTCTATAGACTGAAACAAAATTTAAATGTATAATAATAGGTCTGAATGTTAACACAATGTTAACGTCATCATTTTTAAATGATTATTGAGTGGATTCAATAATGTTTTGAGGTTCATGTCAGTCACCACCATAAACTGAGTGTGTCTCATTTTGACAATAACTCTGAGGTCACCATATCCACCACTAGTCTTTGTATTACAGGTATATAAACCTTCAGGTTCAGTCCAGAGAATAGTAAGGTCCACTCTGACAGTGGAGACGTGTGTATCTGCCAGCAGACAAATGGACTGTCTGTTTCTCTCCATGTCCTGAGGGCTTACGGCTATGTTACACTGGGCACATAAACCAGTTGCCAAATATAAATATTCAGGTTTCAATAATGTATCGGTCTTTTCACTGAAATACATTTATTGGACCTGTGACGCTGCTTATTACGCTATCTACTGAAAATATTTTCTAAATAAAACATTCAAAACACAAATGCACTTATGTTAAGTTATTTTGACACTGAAGAATAAATGGTGCAACATCATTTTCATTTTTAAAACCACCTCATAAAATGGGATGTACAATGTCTTTGTTGAATTCATTAAAGAAAGTATAGGTTCACATGTATATTTTTGAGTGCAAAATACTCAGTGGCACTGGCATTGTATCCCTTTTGATTAATTGTATCTCCATTTTCTCAGTCTAAGTCTAAGTCTCAGACACAATAAAGAGAAGATGATTCTGCACAACTTTCTGATATATACAACCCCAAAGTAATCTGTCTCATTAAAATAAATGCAGATATTTGATAATAAGCCAAACACCAAATTTATTCTGGGAATGAAACAGCCACAGCATTCAACAAGTTATCACTTAAGAGTATTTTATCAGAGAGGCTCAGCAGATTTAGTTTTAGTTTCAGCAGCCCCGCTTTTAATTTCCTTTAGCATTGCAGATGCCATGGATGAAACCATTTCCATTTCTCTGCCCTCAGGCTCCAAATGGTGCTGCTGTGGTTCCTGCTGCTAAGGAGTAGCTGCCATCACCCCCCTCATCTACCTACTTGATGGTGTGGCCCGAGCCTCGGTCAGGAAGTGCTGAAGCTGATCCAGCTTATCGGGCTGGCTCCTCCAGGGGCTTCTGCCACCATATGGCTGACCCAGGCCCTGCAGCCTCCCCAGGGGTGACTCGTGCCTGGATCAGAGTAACGAGTCTGAGTATACGGCTCTCCACGTTACCCCGCCACCCCCAGCATGACTACACAGATGTTGTTTCAGCAAATTCCTGAAAATGTGAACTGTAGTAGGGAGATGAAAATAAACAGGGATACTGGAGCCATGCTTTCATTTGGATTAACCATGTCTTATTTCTCAGTAAAAATCTGATATGTTAGGTTTCCGAAAGTCAGTTTTTCTTTTCCAACACAATAATTGCACAGTTTGGTAAGTGGACAGAATGCACTACCTGTGGCAGTATTCACCACAATACTCAGTGCACCACGTGGGAGATGAATTTTCCAGCTGTTTCACTTTTCCAGGCAGTGCCCTGACATTTTAAATAGGCTTTCACCATTGGTTTCAATGGTCCTGCGCCAATATTTGCATGCCTTTTGTCCCCAAAGGCAACAAAAGAGGATAGAGAAGAGAGAGAGGAAAAAAGTCAACAGTTTTTACACCAGCCAAAGCTGTATCTAAATGTGTCTTACATCTCTGCACCCTGCTAGGCCCCCCGTCCCTCTCATCCCTCGTTCCTCTTGCCTCCTGGAGGGAGGAATGATTGAGGGGCGCTACCCCTTCCTTTTATCCTGCAAGCGAAGGTCTGCCTCTCTCCATAGTCAAAAACATCAACTGAAGAGGTGTGTTAAAGATGAGGAAAGTGAAGGGGAGGGACGTGAAGTGTCACATATTCCCCTAAAGCACAATGAGCCATGCACAGGTTAGGTGCAAGGATATGGAAAGTCATTATTTGCAGGCCTAAAGGGATGTAGCTGTTACATGGGCCAGATGGTATATCAACAACAGGCAAAAAAGGACAGCCTATTACAATCCTCTGTAGTATAGTGGTTTGCTATCAAAGACCTACAAACGCCTTGTTGTGGCTACCTTGTTATCTAATTTGTGAATGTTTATTTATGTGCCATGTGCATTGGTTGCCCATGGGAGTATGAATATGTCATTTACATGTTTGAGTGCACAGGGGCTGCTTATGAATTGGGTAGGACGCATGTGAACAAATAGTGTTGTGTAACGAATGATTCGCTAAATTGACGGATAATTCATTCTTTGGATATTTTATTTATTATTTGCAAATATATATATATATATATATGTAAAATCATTCTTAGACTCAAAAGATTTGGGGTATTTGACCAATATATAGTTAATTTTAGATCCTCTTGTTTTTGTTCATTTGGTGTTTTTCTGCTTTGCAGTTACTTGATTGAGTAAGTTGATCAGTATGAAAAATGGTGTAACAAACAGCAGGGAAGTATCAAAAAAATTCTAAAAGCAAGTGATTCGAATTGAAGCCATGCATATTTACTGTACATATACAGTATACACAGCCTAATCCTCAATATGTAAAATAAATACATGATAACAATACACTTAATATCCAACACTCCATGACAGGAGGAGCATTTCAAAGGACTGCAACTGGAGACAACTAATATTCCAACAAGGAAGAGCCACTGCACAGTCAGTATATCAGACAGTAACACATCATGAGTACAATTACAGCCCAAATGTACCGACGTAAAGACAAAAACAGACTCAAGACAGTTAAAAGCTATCAGAGAACAGTGGAGACAGCGTACAGAGGAACATCAGGTTTCAGTTATTGCTGGGTTATTGCTGGCTTTGGAGGCAAAAAGCAATTATCAGTGAGAACATCAGTAAAAGCATGGAGCTGTTGACATAAAAATGTCCACTTCAGTATTGCTTTGCAGCTCATTCCCGTCACTGGGAACAGTAAATTGTAATGAGGAGAGCCTGATGGAGGCGTTAGCTCTGGGGACTGTTAACTGATGGGCAAATCGGGTGTTAAAACTGACAGATGAGATTTGTAGCATGCTTTGGTTTGTAATCTAATCTCTGCTGTCATCAAATGACACGATCAGGGTTTGTTTTATCGTCCATGTGTAGGAAAATCACTTTGTATACTCATAATATAGTTGCTTGAGCATTTAGACTCAGAAGAGTTTTATTTTATGAGTGCGTGAACTCGGCCAGTGTCGTGCATAAAGCTTGTCTCCATCGGTGACAACCACCTTTTGTTTCATGTCGAGAGATATGCTTCAGAAATACCCCTTATACTAAACTTCAAAGCAAAAAATGTCAGTTCTTGAGTGCATCCAGTTATGTTTAAAAATTCTGAGTTGGCCATTTATTATTTACATGTTGTGTAAATATATGCAATAATTTAACATTTCTATTTAATCTTTCAAGATATGTGATCAATCCAGCCAGAGTATTCATGATCTCCTTCATTATTTGATAACTTAATCTAAATAGATCTATACACAGATCATAATAAGGTCTTTAAATTGTAATATTCTGGTTAACTAATACAACATAAAGTTAAGGAATGTATATGAAAAGTTAAATTACTTTCTAATTACCAGCATTCTTGTGACTGTGGCCTCTGGTTCTGTAATAGGGAAAGAGATGGTGATGATTGTTATGTTTGCAGTTACAACAGTGCCATGCTGCAGGCAGGACTAGCACAGTGCAGTGTTTATATGGTTTGTAGGGACACCTATTGGCTAAATATGAAAACTACACTGTGCGCTGCAGATGCACACAAGATGAAAATGTCCCACCAGTCAACAGTGCATTGGTTTTAATTTGTGTAGTTCATCAACGCTGAATAACAAACAGGATTTGTCATACATAATGGATAACAATTAAAGTGCAGCGCATACTCTCCTTTCCTTAAAAACAGAAAAAAGGAGCTAGAGCTTTTCCGACTTTTAATACACACTGCAGTAACATACTGAGCAGTCAAGTCAGCCTGTTAGGAATAAAAAAACAGTGCTTCCTTAGGACATACTAATGAATCATGTATAAAAGATAATCATTATTGGTTTATAAACGCTAGCGTTTCACAAGCCACAAGCACACAGTTCAGTCCCAGGATATGCAACAACTAGTAATATTGTAATTAAAACTAGAAACATAGCTGTAATTCTCAGGCTTCAGACAACAGAATATCACAATATCTCTCAACTACATTGTAAGCACGTGTCGGAAAACTCAAACTGTCCAAGAACACATGGATGCATTTTAGCTTTTTAAATGGAAACTTAGACCATACTGTTTTTTATTTTATTCATCAAATATGCACCTTTCTATTTTTAAGGATACTTTTATATTAATATAAAAAATTACCATATTAGTTTTTTAATTAGTGAGTAGTGTTTGAATTGTTCCTGTGTACTGGAGGAATGTGGGAACAACAGTTAATGTGTTTTGTTTTCATTATGTTATATTGTCCCTACTGTAATGGACAAATAACATATTGGAGAAATTAGTAAAAACAAAGGAAGAGGAGAAAACATGTTACACATACAAAAAGATATTCCTTTTATGTTGCACTCATTTAACTTCTGCTCATTCCCACAGAGCTCAACAGGTGTCGTTTGCAACGGTAAGTCCTACTTAACGGCAAAAAGACTTTCCTCTTGATTCAGTTTCACCTTTCATGGATCAGCTACCTTTGAAAGAGTGAGTGTATACAATAAATAGAATAATTCATGATTTTGTCATTAAAAATGAAAAGTTTCTTTTCCTCATACTTGGGATGTGTTTTGAAATTATACATAATGGACCATAGATGTTCAGAAGTTTTCCAAACCTCCTCTAGCTACGTTGGGAGACGTTCAAGAGTCCCCCCTTGCGTTTCACAGGAGAGGGGTACGAGGGCTTTAATTATGTGCAGAGCTCGGATCATTAGCATGAATGGGGGTGCAGTATGGAGCCTCCTCGTCTCCAGTCAAGGCACTGTGCTCTAAGTCGACCACCCCCTCCTTTCTTCTCTCATGTAACAAACGAGCCTCTGCCTTGTTACCGAGGCACAGGTTAACAAGCACAGCCACAGCCAGTTCATGCTGATGAGCTCTAAATACATGTAGTAGAATATCGGTTAATACAGGTTCAATGCAAGTAATAGTGTTGACTAAATTAATTTGAAATACAGTTTATAGGATTTATTTTGATTTAGATACATCATTAAGTTAAAGACTTATGGAAACTCAATTCAAAATTTGCATTCTTGGGGGAAAATGTCCCAAAACACTTCTTGTCGTGATCAGTGATCAAGCCCCTCAATCCCACTAAAGAAACCCAGCCCTATACGGCTCCGCTGCTGGAAACATGACACAGATACACGTAACGCTCATGCACATTGATTCCAACCCAGTTATAAACTTTCTCAATTATTCATTAATATGAAATTGTGTTTGTCTCAAGTGGAACAGTGCGATTTCCTCCTGCGACATTCAGGCATTGTTTGGGCCCTCTCTTGGGCCATTGTCACTCCTTTGCCAATTGCTCCGTTGACACATATTGTTCAGGAAGCCATTTCCTTCCTGATAGTTTGTTGAGACCTGATTTGTCCTAATCCTGAGACCATTTGTAATACAGAAGACTGGGATAAATAATAAATTGTGTATGACAGAGTCAAAGGAACAAAAAAAATGGAACTTGGAACAAATGGTTTGCTTTATGTTTGGGAAAGAAAATCTTTCTTTATGGTTGCATTATCAAATCATGATATGTATATTCACTGTTGAAATGAATAATAATAAGTGTAATGTGGGAGAAATATGCATAACAAAAATAACTAGTGTGAGACTGCCATGACAGCTTCATAATTGTGCCACTCCGAGCCTGCTCACTGCAAAAAAGCTAAATTTTGTATATTGTTGAAAAGCATGTGGCACATGTGGATACAACTGCATCTCAATCATTATGCGCAATGTGAATGTGTAAACTATGAAGAGAAAATAAAGAGTCTTAAAATTAATATATATATTTTTTAATCAAAAAATGTATACGGAATATTACCAATATTTGATGACACACAATTAAGCTATTAAATATCTTCTGCTACCA